AAACTGAGGCACGGAGCTTTCACGACATGCTCAAGTTTGCACAGGGAGTCTGTGGCTGGGGCATGTGCAGTGAGGACTAGTGGGTGGAGCTGGAGTCTGGGGCTTGGAGCCAGAACTGGGAGCCAGAGCCCAAGGTCAGAGCTGGTCTTAGAAGCCAGGGACTGGGAGCAAGATGAAACAGGATGTGTCAGAGCAGCCAGCTGGGGATCTGCCAAGGGGCGTGCACACTTTCCTGGTGTCCCCGGGTTTATAGAGAGCACCGGCGCTAGCAGCATGTCGTGTGATGCTTGGGCCCACGAGGCTCATGGCCTGTCAGTCGCCACTCAGCCAGAGCCGTCAGATGGCAGGGAGGACGTGTCAGCTGCCTGGGCATTGGCAGTCCCAGCAGGATCTTCATGCAGTCCTAGTCCCAGTAGGCGGGGAACCGTTTTTAGGTCGGGAGCCACCAGGGGCAGCAAGTGAAGGAAGGACTGGAGGAGGCAACCCCCCAGCCCTGCCCTCAGCTGAGGCCCTGCCCCCCATGGAACCCAAGCCACCTCCGTGCCCCCCCCATGGGGGGAGGGGTACGGCCCGGCCTACTGGCCTGGAGCATGAGAATGGAGGAGGGTGCACATCCCCGGTCCCGAAGCACAGGGAGGGCAGGTGGCTCGCTAATCCTGCATCCCTGGCCACTCATCCTGCATCCCTGGCCAGAAGCACTGGGAGGGGTGGGCGTTTGGGGGCAGCCACCCTCTTCCCCCTTCCCCCTCCCAGAAGGCCTACAGTAGGTGTGCTGGGGACGGAGTGCAGGTGAGGCCAGGCTGGTGGTTTGGGACACCAGTACCTTCCTCCGCCTCGCATATCCACCACCCCCGGGGTTGCTGACCCACAGAAAAATCAATCAGGGGCCACACAGGTGAGAAGCAACAAACAACAAAAACCCTCACTGACATGGCCCCTGATTGACAAGGAGAAAGACACGCCCCACATTTCCCTCTCGCCAGAGTCTAGGGAGGCCCAGGCTAATAGATTTTGTGTGCTCCAGCCCTGTGGGGTGGCAGAGGGGGGAACCCCAACCCACAGGAGCCAGATCCAAGCAAGCTGGGGGTCTCATCCAGACGCCGGGCTTTAGGTTCCCCACTCCTGCTGTAAAGGATTCCTCCTTCCTTTCACATGCATGTCCAGAGAAAGCCCTCGCTATCTGCAGATTTGTTGTTTGTGGTTTTGCATATTCACGGGGTGCTGCGCCCCACCCACCCAAGTGCATGACGCAGCACGGTGGCACTTTCAGCTGGCCCTCGTGAAAAAAGATTACGTTCTCTGAATTGTCCGTATTAACCATACGTCTGTATTAGCCAGATGTCCGTATTAACACTCCCCCCCTTCCTTATGGCACCGAAAAGAAACGTGAGCGATGCAGAGAATGGGCCAAAGGCTAAAAGGAGGGGGAAAAGGTGATGATTTGGAGCCAGAAAGTGGAATTATTGGCTACGCTTAACTTGCGAGTGGAATTCATTTTTAACTCCCACCATTCCATCATCATAATCGTCGTTATCGTTGGTCTTATCCCCGTCGTTGTCACCACCATTTTACAGAAGTCCAGCAAAAGGATGTTTGGTTTACTTTAGATATTGGCATGTGTTTATTGCATTGTTACTTGTACATATTAGTCGATTGCATCAGTAGCTCATTTTGCACAGGAAAAGGGCTTGTTTTGTGTCTGGAACGCCCCCTGCCCTCGGTATTCGTGGATTTCGCCGTTCACGGTGATCTCCAAAACTGATCCCCCACCCCCAAATGGCAAGGGTCTCCTGTAGCGGATGAGTGTCTCTTTCTCTCTTCCCCTTCCCCCTGCTTAATTAGTGCTTAGCTGGGTTCTTAACGGGCTCAGCCAGTCCCTGACCACCTCCCGGAGAGCTCCCGCTGATTGGCCCGCAGAGGGGGGGGTGTGTGTTGTGTGTGTGTGTGTGTGTGTGTGTGTTGAGGGGGGATGCTTTGTTTCAGGTCTGTGAACTCACCTTCTTGGATGGGGGTGGGGGCCGTCTGCCTCCTCTTCCCCCTCCCCTCCAAATTTTCCTGCCAGTGTCCGCCCTGGCGTTGGGGAGTCCCTTCCATTGGTTGCAAAGAGTTAAATGCAACTGCTGTCCCCTTTCCACCCATCCGTACCCCCGGCCTGTTCATGTGGGATATTCCTGGAAAGGGGCTGTGGAAACCCTTGTTTTCTCTCCCTTCCTGCATTCCTGTCCGCTGGTGCCTGCAGCCTGCCAGCGAGAGATAAGGAAGGGCTGATAATTGACTTGTGTTCATGGTGGAGCTTGGTGCCAGGGGCTCTAATTCAAGCCGAGGGCTTGGGTGACTTGGCAGCCGCCTTCCTCATTAACTGAGCGCTGGAGGGTCCCTTTGAAGCGCAGCCGTGAGGGCCTCTCCACCAGCTACCTCCCGAGTCTCGCCAGGGCTCATCCCTGTCACACACACACCCCCGATCTCAGAACGGGGCTGTCTCGCGGTGTTGAGCTCTGGAGACGGGCCACTTCTGAATCACTGGGACTTGTGTGTGTGTGTGTGAGGCTTTGTGGCTGGTTTGTGCAAACCGGTGAGGTTCATGCCCTCTGGCTGGGCCGACCTGCTCTTGTGCTCTCTCTTAACCCTTGGAGTGGAGGAATTCCCACCCAGGGAGCTATTCCTTCAGCTCCCCTTAGTAAGACCACATCCCATGACCGCCCTCGCCTGCCGCACCCCCCACAGCCCGCGCTGGGCTTCCTCTTTCTTCCCCCCAGCACCACCTCCCTTCTGCCAAAATTCAGGCTGTTGGGGACAAAACTCGAGCTTTCAGAAGGTTTCCCAACCTCAGAGTGTTTAGCCATGTGGTGGTCATTGTTGCCCCAATGCTATGGCTGGAGGTGCAGCCAGGACGGGGGCATTGGCATGAGCAGGTGGAGTTCACAGACTGGTCCTGCCAAGCAGAGAGGACTTGATTAAAATGGGAGGGAGGGGGGAGTTTTGGCAGAAAATTTAGTTTTTTCATGGCAAAAAATTGAAATTTGAGCTAAAACCCCAAAGAATGGAAAATTCTGAAGAGCTGCCGCAATGCCTCATGGGAGTTGTAGTTTGGATGATGTAGTCCACTCAGGGAATCCACCCCAGCCGAACTATTTTATTCCATGGAGTCAGGAAGTGGGTGGGGTGCATGTCCCGGAGTGGCCTACATCTCCCATGAAGCAACATAGTCTCTCCCCTTTGGTCAGGGGAGGCTGTGCATCATGGGAGATGTAGTCCAACCAGAGAGCCCAGCCCGCAGTGAAGAATGACTGGGCCGGTGGGCAATATAGCCAAAAACTTCAGGTTTCCACACAAAGCAGATGCTTTTTCACACAAAATGGAGGGTTTTTTAAGAAAACAGTGTTCGTGGACCATTCGTGGCCTGCAGGTGCCTTGAGCGACTCCTCCCCCCATGTCTGCCTGGAGCATTTGGCCTGTCGAGGTTCTCTCTGAGGGCCCCGCTGGACTAAGAGGTTGGTGGGAAAGAGGAGAATCTCTGGGCCCGTGATGGCCCGTTGTAAACAGGGGTAACTGGAACCGGCTCTACGCCAACTGCAAACCCGCCCCTGCCAGACGAGGCCGGTCAGCGCCTTTTACTGACCCAGCCCTGGGAAATTCGCTTGTCTCTAGCAGCATTCAGGTGGGATTGAGTGAATTTCCTCCAGGGAAATTGTGCGTGTGCCTCTTTGAGTCCTGATTGGAAAGTTCCTCTGGCTGAGAAGGGCTCTTGCCCCATCTGACTGCCCCCATCCGATTGCTGGGGAGGTGTCTGGACAAATATGACTGTCCTTTCCCCTCCTCCAGTTCACCACCTCCCTCCGTGGCAATTTCCAAGGGACTTTCTTTGGCTTAGGGGAGAATCCGCCAATGCCTCTCTGTAGGCATGGCTGTAGCAGTGGGACTGGTTCTGCTTTCAATTCCCTTCCCATCAGTTGCAAGCACAGCTCTGCCTCTTCAGCACTCCATGCCTCCCCCTTGGGGATCTAGGGATGAACGCATAGTCAACCTATGGAACTCGCACAGTCAACCTGTGGAACTCCTTGCCAGAGGATGTGGGGAAGGCTAGAACTTTAACAGGGTTCAAAAAAGAGCTAGATAGATTCATGGAGGTTAGGTCCATCAATGGCTAATAGCCAGGATGGGTAGGAATGGTGTTCCTAGCCTCTGTTTCTCTGGACGTGGGAGATAGGGGAGAGATCACATGAGGATTACCTGTTGTGATCCCTCCTTCTGGGGTATCTGGTATTGGCCACTGTCGGCAGACAGGATACTGGGCTAGATGGACCTTTGGTCTGACCCAGTGTGGCCGTTCTTCTGTTCTGTTGGGAATGAATAGAATGAGCAACCCTGCTACCATGTGCCAGCACTTAACTTCCAGTCATTGCTCCCTGTAAGCTCTGCACATGGGTGGCCACCCACGAGAGAGTCCAGTGCTGCCCCAGTTGGTGAGTAGAACGCTCACAGCTGGCAGCATGTGTTTCTACTGGTGGTGCACATATCTCAGTGCACAGAACAAAATTTATTCCACACACTCAGAAAAAATTGGTGTGACAATTGGTGCCAACAAGCCCTCTCTGCAATGCTAGTCAGACAGCAGGGCTGGCATTACTATGAGCTCGTGTTTGGTGTCTCCATCAGACTGCGCTGCCTTTAGGGTGCAGTGGAAGATCAATCTGGTTGAGTTACCTGCCCCCTGAACAATTTTCAGGGTAGTAGGATAATTGCTTCTTTTGACCCTCATTATGTGGCTATTGTATAGAAGTTGCCTCGAGCCATGGATAAATCCCTAATTAGCACGGTTATGGACTAATTCACTAAAAAACCAGGCACAGCTCAGCTGATCTCCCTCCCCCCTCTCCCTCCCCCACCAATCTATCACAAACAATGCAGTTCACAGCTTTCCCCTTTGCGCCCCTGATCTAAACCAATTGCAAGAATTTCTGATCCTCCCCCTTTTCTTCCTTTCTTTTCTCCCCTTGCAGGAATTTAGAAAATGTCCAAGCCGACAGGACGCCAGTTTTTATCCACGAGGTGCTTAGCTTGCTGGTTGCATGTACAGCCAAGGTAAGGGCCAGCTTTCTAGCATGTGTGTTTATGCCAGTCACGTGCCCAGTGAAACAAGGCTCTAGACTGGTGTTTCTCAACCCATGGTACGAGTACCCTTGGGGTACTCAAGAGACGTCTGGGGGTGCGTCAACACAACTGAAATTTGGAGAAAACGGAATTTTTGTTGTAAGTTTTACCGCGCTTTGTTATTTGTGTACTTTTTACACCCAAAAATGTCATCGCCCACCTGGCTACGATTAAGTTGTTTAAAGAAATGTGTTGCAATGGTAGAAAAAAAATGTGTGTGTCTGAAAACTGTAAGTACTAGGGGTGCTTATGTTTTTTTAAAGGGGTACTTTATTATAAAAAAGGTTGAGTATGTGGCCATTGAAGTTGAAGTGTAAGCATGTCAATGTGTTTGGCTGGGATTTGACCAATGGCTGAAATCAACCCAACATGCCGCTATGGCTGATGGATATGAAGAGGCCAGCAAAACGCAAGGGTTTCCTGTGGCGTGTGCTTTACAGGAAGCCATAGTAGATGATCAATGATTCCTTCTGCCTTGTAATCTATGAACGTGGACTAGACTGACGTCACACTGGGGCCAGGACACCGAATTCTGCAAATAACAGCCGCAGGGGACATGTTGCCATGCTCTGAGCTCTTCCAGCCCGGACAAGATCCCCTATGCCACCGTGTGTGGCTCTTGAGTGGGGCCACTATGTCGGGGTGAACTGTTCCATTATGGAGCTCACATTTTCAGGATTTCTTCTGGGATCGCTGCAACTTGCAAGTTCTGAGACCTGTCCGGTCCCCTACCCCTGGCAGCAGATGCACAAAGAGAAACCAAATCAGATGGTTCCTGGGTTTCTTTAGTGTTATGGTGAAGAAAGGCAGCTTGAAAACGCTGCTGCCCCGATCCAGTTTGGCATGCGAGACTTTAACTGGAGAGCTGCACCAAGTCCTCATAAATATAGGGCAGGAAAGCTGAGTTCTTGCGAGGGGGAGGGATTTTTTTTTAACTATGCTTCATAGAAGTTGTTTTGGTAGCATTCATTTAATGCTGATGATGAATCCACACTGTGGAAAAAGAAGTTTTTGTTAAAGCCCCTCAACGCTTGATAAAATGCCCTGTGAGGATTTTCCTCAGGGTGGGGAGGGAGCTGTCTCTTTACTGTGTGTGTGTGTGTGTGTGTGTGTACACATACGCAGCACCTTGTACACAAAGGCCCTTGGATCCAGCCTGCACGCTCCCGATGCTACTTTTTTAGCACAAGTAGTCACAATGAAGGTGACCTTCAGGAGCAGCTGTGACAGCCTCAAACACATGCTCTTCCACTTCCTCTGAAGGAGCTTATGAGCAAACGAGTGAAATTAGCCTGAATAATAAGACCGCGTTTCAATAGCCCTTCACATCTTCAAGGCACTTTTCAGCAGCATGACTGAATGTTAATGAAGATTATTTAGTGGGGGGGTGGGGAGGTGCAAAGGTTTTTTTTTTTTTTTTTTTAAATGCAGGAGATTAAGCAGGTTTCTCCGTCCTTGCAGCTAAAGGGCAGCCCGGAGCAATGTGCGCCCAGCAGGTCTCAGCTAGAGACGGTCACTGTCTATGCACTGCACCTCTATGAGTGCCTCTTCGACCCCTACCAGACGTGGAGGAGGCAGCTGAGTGGGTGAGTGGTGCGGGGCGAGGGTCTCCATTTGCTGTGGTCTGGGCGGATTTCTGATCGCTCGGCCGGTCTGCGGGTCACATTCAGCAAGACGCCCCGATCCGTTGCGTATAGGGCTGGGATGTCGGGCCGTGGGGATTCGAGGGCTCACAAGCCATGTGACTCCCCTGTCACATGGAATGACTCAGCTCTCCCTCACTGAGATGCCTTGGCCAAGTATTCAACACCCCCCCTCCCCCCCACCGACCATCTGCCCCCAACTCTGGTTTGCTCCCTGTTAGCTGCTCCCTGCCTGGAATCCGGTCTCACTCCCCCCTCTGCTTTTCCTGTGTTTCTAGGGAAATTGTCAGCATGAAAGAGAAGAGCAAATACAAGTTCGCACCAGCTGCTTTGCCTCTCGAGTTCAGCACTTTCTTCCAAGGTAAATGCCAAACCACCAGCTCCCCCTGGTTGGAGGTTCATCTTATGTCTCTGTTCAGGGGCCCTCCTCTTCCCTCCCCAGGCTGCTGGAATGAAATGTCACCCTAAATTTCCAGCTGGTGGAAGGTCTTCAGTGGCCTTTGATTTCTCCCTCCCCAGCATCCTAAGGGTCTCTGTGGTTTAGAAAAGAACCAAGGGTGTGCACCAAAAACTAAAACTAAACCATGCTTCTGCTTCCTAGATCGGTGCTCAACAGCCAAGACCCCCCCCCCCCCCAGGCAGCTGTGATCTGGCAATACATATTGGGAGGGTGTATTTGCATATTACCCAGAATCCCTAAGTCCCTGTAGCATGGGGACTTAGTGCATTGTTTCAAATGGGGGTGGGGCTGATGAAACGTACCAGTCTGCCAGCTTTGGAGACTGGACCCACCTGTTCAGGCCTGCAGTGGCCCCATGGGGGTGCCCCTCTGCTGGGACTCTGAGCGTGTTCCTCCCAGCCTGCAGCGTTGGCCAGGTGGAGGTGGCTGTGGCTGGATGCTCCCCTGCGAGCTGCTGGGTTTGTTCTGATGTGGTGTCGATGCTGGGCATGACCCCTGCAGGCTTCCCTAGCTGCCTCCTGTCCCCCTGCTTGCAAGGAGAACTCTGCTCCCTGTGCTCCCCTCTTGGCAAGGCTAGGAACACCTTGGCCCCACACCCCATGGGGCAGTGTAGAGCCTGGTGTTTCCTTCTAGGCCGGGTTCTCCCCACATGGCATTGCCTGGGAGCAGAGCACACACCGTCTTGGACTCCTCACCTCGCCTCCGGGGCTTCCTGGCCTCATTCCTAGGGGTAATGAATTTCCCACGCAGTGTGGTGCAGGGACCAGTTCTGTGGGGACCCAGCTGCTCTGCTCTGAGGAAGCCTGTGGGCTTTCACTTGTAGCCCTGGGGAAGCCCCCTCCCTCCCCAAGGGGGTAGGCTCTGAGGGGAGCAGACTGGCTGGCTGCGGTGCCGGTGCCTTCCACAGGGCTTGCTGTGGAGGGAGCTAGTCTGGGACCTGGCACTCATAGAATCCTAGACTGGAAGGGACCTTGAGAGGTTGAGTCCAGTCCCTTGCCCCCACGGCAGGGCCGAGCACCATCCCTGTCACCATCCCTGTCAGATTTGCCCCAGATCCCTAAATGGCCTCCGCAAGGATTGAACTCACAACCCTGGGTTGAGCAGGCCAATGCTCAAACCACTGAGCTATCCCTCCCTCCAGCCTCCTGCGTGTCGCCCCGCTCTGAGGTAACCAGCAGGGACAGCAAGCCGGTACAGCCACAGACTCTGTGCCGACAAGGCCCGGTCCGGGGCGTCAGGGAGACACGGCACCGCCCCGGCACCTCTGCGGTGCTGCCTCCTCCAGCTCCCTCTGGAAGCAGCAGCCGCGCAGGAGAGCAGGGCGGGGGGTGGGGGGAGGGAATGGGAGCAGTAGGGCAGCTGGGGGAGCTGTCAGCATTCAGATCCTTCCCCCGCCCAGTGTGAAAATTAGCAACCCCCCCGCCCCCCGCCCTGTCCCCCGGCAGAGCTGCTCCTGAACAGAGGCTGTGGCGGGGTGGGGGTCGAGGTGGGACCGGGAGAGGCAGTGGGGAAAGCTGCAGAACTACCGGCATCTCCTCCAGCGGCTGTACCACCCCCAGCTCCCCCTCCGTCAGGCAGCATGGGACGGACAGAGGGAGAGTGGGGGGGTGCCGAGCTGGAGGCTGTCACAAGGGAGGGTCACATGGCCCCCTTAGCTGGTGTGCCCTCTGCCCCCCCTCCCAATCCTCGCACCAGGAAGAAAATCACGTCCCGTTCACCTCTAGCGGTCACACCCCGACCCTCCTGCCCTTTGTGTCTCTTGCCCTTGGAGACTGTAGGCTCTGCGGGGCAGACACTGGCTTGTCTCCCGTACAACCGGGCCCGGATCAGCTTATGAAATTCAGCCCCCCTCCAGGAGGGGGCAGGGCAGCAGAGAGACGGGGATGCTACAAATCGGGGCAATGGCATGGGTGCCCCCGATCAGGTGGGCCCCAAGCTGGGCATGGAGGGACAGCTCTGCGGCCAGCACTGGTCCCTGGCATGCAGTCTCCCCCCTAGTGCGTGTTTGCCATCCGTGGCCCACAAGGGTCAGCCCTTGTCCTGGTCCATCCACGCGGCAATCGACGCTCTGGGGAGCATGACTGGTCTTGTTAGCTGCCAGAAGAAAACAGCAGTCATGTAACCGCCACTAGGCAGATTTGAACCTGGGGCCTCTGGAGCTTAGTAGCGGAGTCTCCACCCTCTGAGCTAAAAGCTGGCTCGCAGCTGGCGCTGTAGAGGTCTCTGGGTTTTATCTGTTGTTATGGACTAAGCACCTCTGCCCAAGACTGTGAACCACACTAGGGCTATGTTTACGCTGGCACGATCTTGCGCCAGAAGTATGCAAATGAGGCTAAGCGTGGAATATCGCCGAGCCTCATTTGCATACCTAATGAGCCGCCATTTTTGCAGAAGAGGCTCTTGCGCTAGAAGAAGCTGTCTACACTGCTCCTTCTGGCGCAAGAAAAACCCCTTTTGTGCAATGCCGCTATTCCTGAAAATAATCAGCGTAGCAGCATTGCTCAAGAGGGTTTTTCTTGCGCAAGAAGGGGCAGTGTAGACAGCTCCTTCTAGCGCAAGAGCCTCTTCTGCAAAAATGGCGGCTCATTAGGTATGCAAATGAGGCTCGGCGATATTCCACGCTTAGCCTCATTTGCATATTTCCGGTGCAAGATCGCGCCAGTGTAGACATGGCCTAGGTCTGTGGGTTACACTAGCACCGGGCCAGTCTCGTTAGCCACCATAAATAACCAGCGTGAGCACCCGGCCGGTCTCTTTCCTTTTTGAAAGCCCCCTTCCCCACTCCAGCTTGGTGACTTTTTACGTTGGAAACGCAGGTCTTGGCCAGCCCGCTGCTCTTGGAGGACTCTCTGGCTGGCCGGAGTGAAACCAGATTTAGGGAAAGGGATTCTTTTTGTTTGCTGTGGAACTTCTGGGTTTGCGTCACTCCCACACTGAGCAAGAGAGAGGCCTCTTTATGCACCATTCATCCATCTTCAGTTAAGTGCCAGTTTCTTCTCCCCCCAGGAAGTTCTGCTGGCTTGTTTTAAGAAGTAGCAGATTTCATCTTCTCTGTTCTTGGGGGAAGTCTCATTGGAGGACTAGGGAGTTGGAGTAAGAGCTTTCTTAGCCGTCCATGGAAGGAGGTTCATGATTGTATTGGGTGTTTCTCCCAATTGTTTCTTGGGTATTGCTGTTAAATAGGTGATAAGCAAAACAAACACCTAATTCAGATGGTCTAAAACATGGGTTCCCAAACTGGGAGGTGTGAAGAAATTCCAGGGGGGGGGGCGCAAGACGACTCAGACTCCCCCCTCCTATCAAGTTTTGCTGCCCTGTTCAGTTCCTTTTTTGGCTCAACAAGTTTTGCTGCTATTCGGAAGGAGGGCGTGAGGTTTTTTCAAAAATCAAAAAGGAGGGCGTGATGCCAAAGTTTGAGAACCACTGGTCTAAAACCATTTTCATCCCTCCATGCTTTGCAGGAGTTGCTTCCCAGATGACACAACCTCGTTCCTTGTCCTGTACTTGGAAATCTTTCAAGAACAAGACCTGAATTTCGAACGTAAAACATTGTTTTGGGAAATAACCCTTTTTCACAACACTGTTAAGAAGGAAGAAAGTCCGCAAACCCTAAGCGTCACTGTATTTCCCAAAGTAACTGCATTTCCAAGTTACATTTTTAACTAGCGTGAGGGGGGGCTTGGTTTCATGAAATATCTCCCCCTTTTTCTCAATATAGCCCCTTGTTTTCTCAGATTATCTTGAATTCACCCAGGATTGACTGACAAATGGAGGCGTGTGCTATCAGAGATAAAACAGAGCCGGGATTACAGAGAAACCCTGGATTCACGCCCCGCTATATTGCAGATGGGGTACAGATCACAGCTAGAGGGTACAGATCACAGCATGGGGTACAGATCACAGCTGGAGGACTCTCTGCATCTTGGGGTCTTCAAAGTATTTGAAGGCTTCAATATCTGAGATATAGGTGAGAGGATTATTCTAGGAGGGGTGGGTGAGATTTTGTGGCCTGCACTGTGCAGGGGGTCAGACTAGATGATCATAATGGTCCCTTCTTACCTTAAAGTCTATGAGTCTATGAGATGGGTGAAATCCAAATCCGAATCCGGATACATATTTTTGAAGAAGCCCTATGTTTTCTTGAGGGGCTGCATTGAAGCCGTGTGCTTTTCTTGTGGCAAAGAAGCGGCATGGGGTAGCTCCTTGCATTGGGAGATTTTAGATCGGATCTTGCCTTAAACACATTGGACTGCATGAAGACACGCGGGTTACATATGCGCACGTTGGAAGTGACTGGATAGGTTAGATAAATGTCTATCAGGGATGGTCTAGACAGTATTTGGTCCTGCCGTGAGGGCAGGGGACTGGACTCGATGACCTCTCGAAGTCCCTTCCAGTCCTAGTATTCCTACTATTCTATGATTCCTTTAACCTCTGTTCCCCCAGACTCTTGGGTGTAAGCTGCAGAAGCATTGGGCTGGATCCACTCCAGTAGCCCCTGATGCCAGGTGGGTGTGTCTCTTAGAAGGGGGCCTCGCTGGGTGACCCCTCCTTAAGACGACACACGTCCCGGTGCTTAATTTTACACCCCTGACGTAGGGCCCCAAGCCAGGAGGCTGTGAAGCTGTGAAATTTAGAAGAGCTAGGAGGAACCCTTGGTCAGTTTTGTTTTGTTTTTTAAATAAATCAAGCAGCCAGAGGTCGCACTGAGATTTGAACGCAGATCGCTCGATTCTGAGTGCTGACCGTTATACCATGCACGGCTGCCCAGGTGCAGAAAGTTAAGTATGCCTAGGTCTGATTGACAGCGCACGGCCAAAGGCCCTGAAGCTTGCAGTATTGTGGTTGGACTGGATAGCTTGAAGGACTGGCGTCTGGCTCATCAGTTGTCCCTTTCCAGTCGTGACAGCAGAAAAAGCCCCTAAAACTACACGGGAAGGTTTTTTCTCTCCATTTGACTACATGGTGTAAATCCCCTCGCCCAAGTTGAGCCATTTCAGTTATTTTTAGGGAGAGAAAAAATCCCTCTTGCACCTGGGCTGCTGGCTCACATCGCGGGTTCCGTCCCGGTGCCTGTTGGGAGCGAAGGCTATAAGCACAGCGCACCTGCGTGGTTGGTTAAACTCCCACCTCGTCCTCCAAAGAGCCAGGGTGCATCAGGGAAACCTCCCGAGCCCGTGTCCAGCACCCCGTCTCACTGATGGGCTATGACATGCACGGTGAGTTTTTGCCCAAGAGCAAGCGTCTTCAGATGCGTCTTTTTCAGGGTGCATCAGGGAACCCTCCTGAGCCCGTGTCCAGCACCCCATCTCACTGATGGGCTATGACGTGCACGGTGAGTTTTTGCCCTAGAGCAAGCGTCTTCAGATGCGTCTTTTCTTGGAATTAATTGGAAAAAAAATCCTTTCGGGGTGGGAACCTGCTTCTGGGCTGTCAAGCCTTGTGGGGTTTTCAGGGCCTGGCGTTTGTATGGATGCAGGTAGCTGAATCCCTGACCTGCCATAGCATTGAGTCGTTTTGTACATACAGTTGGATGATGTTTTCCAATGGGCGTTACTTTGCTTTTGTCACCCTTAAAATTCATCTGCCATAATGTTGCCCTGTTGGTGAGATCCTTTGGAAGCTCTTCACTGTCTACTTTGGTCTTAACTAGAGCAGTTTGGTATCATCTGCAAATTTTGCCACTTCACTGTTTACTCCTTTTTCCAGATCATTTATGAATATGTTGAATAGGATTCATCCCAGCATAGACCCTTGCAGGACACCACTAGTTACCTCTCTCCATTCTGAAAACTGATGGGGACTAATTTAGCTATAACCGCTCAAAAGAGAGATCTTGGAGTCATTGTGGAAAGTTCTCTGAAAACGTCCACTCCATGTGCAGCGGCAGTCAAAAAAGCCAACAGAATGTTAGGAATCATTTAAAAAGGGATAGAGAACAAAACGGAAAATAGCTTATTGCCTCTGTATAAATCCATGTGACCCCCACGTCTTCAATACTGCATATAGATGTGGGCACCTCATCCCAAAAAGGATATCTTGGCATTGGAAAAGGTTTGGAAAAGGGCAACAAAAATGAAGAGGGGTTTGGAATGGGTGCCATATGAAGAGAGATTAAAAAGACTGGGACTTTTCAGCTTAGGAAGAGGAGGGTTTCTAGCCAGTGACCCACAGAGTTTGGTCAGCAAGTCACGCCAGCAGAAAGTTGTTGGGGGACAGTGTGAGACGTGATTACGGGACTTGGGGAAGGCTGCTCCAGGGACAGCCTACGGGGCGACTGACAGGAGGCGTCATTCTCGCTCTCGGTACTTTGCATCTGGGTTGGCTGGAGTGCGCTTAGTCCGTCTGTTATGTTTGTAGTTGGTCTGTTGCGCTTTCTCCTTCTCCCCCGGGTTGGTGGCATTTCCCCAGGGGTGTGAGGAACACACTCTCTGCAAAGCATGCTGCACAAACACTGCTGCCCAAAGGTCTTGTGGCATGTCTTGGTCTCTGGCATTCTGTGTGTGTGCAGCATTTTGCACAATGGGCCGCTGATCCTGGGTGGGTGATATCTGGAGCACGCGGTAACTCTCACAGCAACGATACGGTGACCGATGTTAACGACGTGCGCTTCCCAAGCTCTCAGTATACCTCGTAACGGCTGTGGGGGCTCAGGGTTAAATGGCCTGCCCAAGGACACAACGGGCAGTCTGTGGCAGAGATGGGAATTAAGTGTTTCTCTCAAGTCTCCCTCCAGTGCCTGAGCCACGAGGCCTCTGATGCTACCACGAAGGGGGGGACTTTTTGGCAAAGAAATCTAGGGTAAACGCAGGTTGTGACAAACCCGGCTCTTGGTCTCGTCTGTTTGCAAAGATGCTCTCTGGGGGGAGAAGAAAGATGATTATGAGCTAGCAGCCCATCCGTTTTCTGTCTCCAAGGAGAGCTCTGAAACGTTGAGTCTTGTGAAAAGCATTTTGCATTGCCTCCCATGTGTCCAGGGAGGGACCAGTAGCCCAGGGCTCTGCAGACCCCGTGTGTCTGGTGAGGGACCAGCAGCCCAGGGCTCCTCAGGCACATGGGTGAGCGGGAGGTCTTGGCCTCTGTTCCATGCCTTGCTCCGGGCCTGCTGGGACTTGGAGCGCTTTCGCAGTCGCTGGCGACGGGCCGTGCTCCAAGGATGAGAGATCAGGAGCAAGTGCTGGTCTTGTCCCACCTCTCACAGCGGGCGCCGGGCCCCTCGGCAGGAGGGCAAAGGAAACCGACCGTCTCTGCTTGACAGGTGCATGCTGTGCTCGCCGCAGGCACAAGCCGGCCGGACAGGTTCTCCCCACGCTGCCTCCGCCGGATTGGGGGCGGGGGGTGGTATTCTCCTATCCTCAGTTCCTGGTCTCTCCACTGGCTCTGCCCCCGAGGGGGAGCTGATTGGAGGTGGCAGGAGACCCCGTGGCCAGAGATGAACGTGGTGGCTGTTTGGGGGCAGCAGACCCCCATAAAGGGTGGCCAGGTTGGGAATGGACCCCGGGTGGGTGCTGCAAGTCTCCTGGGACTTGCTCTATTGGCACGCGAGGAAGGCAATCCCAGGTCATGCTCCCCTTGGTCGTAACTCACGGGCCTCCCTTCCCCCCCATTACCCCACACCGGCTGTGTGCTAGCAGGATGCTCCCCTCCCTTTCGGAGGAGCCGTGGGGCTTGGGGGGGCACCGCGGGAGCTCCTCGCTCTGGCTATGCACTGCAGCCGGCTTGCAGGCATTCAGCGGCGGGGGGTGTTTTGTGTCGCTGGTGGAGCTCGGTAGCTTGTCACTCGTCTGTGTGTAGCTTCCCGGGGCCCTTCCTGTAGGAAACGGTGTGTTTGGCGCGCTGGCTGCTTCCCGGACGCGAGAGGGCGCCTCTCGGGCGGCTGCACGGCGAGGCCTCAGCCAGCGCCACTAGCTTGTCACTCGTCTGTGTGTAGCTTCCCGGGGCCCTTCCTGTAGGAAACGGTGTGTTTGGCGCGCTGGCTGCTTCCCGGACGCGAGAGGTCGCCTCTCGGGCGGCTGCACGGCGAGGACTCAGCCAGCGCCCTTGTCACCTTCACAGCGCTTCCCGAGTGCCCGTCAGTTCCCCTTGGAGCTCACACACTGGGCTGGGTTTGATGCCGAGGGGCAGGACCCATCAGACCCTCTGCCCTGCCGGACCCCGCCATCCCTGTCGTGGGGGGTGTCATGGCTCCTTCCCCACTCTGGCACAATAAATGCAGAAGTGGGGGCCAGCAAGTGTACCCCAAAGCCTTATCTACCAGGCTTTGGTATAAAACTTCCCCCAAAATCTAAAAAACTTAGATTTTGGGAATAAAACTTCCGCTGCCACCACCCAAATATTAATAACGAGATTAGGGGAAAGATCATTTGGGAAATCTCGCCCCTATTATAAAAATCAGGACACACACGTAAGCAATGCCAGGTTAATAAAAAGAAAAGAGAAAACTTTTATTATTACAACAATATTCCTGTTGCAAGCATAAGGATGAGATGGAACGGTAACCAAATATACTCATGGAGGAATTACATCATGGGCTAGAACTTAGTTAAAAAGAAAAGCCAAACATCTCTTAAGCAGCGCCAGATCTCAGATCCCAGACCCAACCCGTAAAACAATAAAGCCTAACGAAACTACCTAAACTTTACCCTACTACAGAAAGTGAAGAATTGTTTCTTGGAGAGAGAGAGAGACATGCTTGTCCCTCCCTGTAGCTGCAGAGCACTCTCTCTCTGAGGGACAAAAGGAGAAAGGAAAAAAACCCAAATTCCTTTGTCCCTGTTTGAAAGTCCTACCTACATTCCTACTGGTTACTCCACCTGGCTAGATGCAGTTAACCCCTTAATCCCCAGGCTGCTGGCTAACCCTCTTAATCATGACAGGGGGAAAGCCGTCCCACCCTCCCACAGCACCCCTTCGATCAGGGGCAATCCATAGCTGTTGCAGTCTCTCTCCTGCCCTGCCTGGGGTGGCTCCGTTCCCTGTGTGCTCTAGGGGCGATTTAACCATGAGCATGTCGGGGAGCCAAGGAGCCGGGGAGAGCGTTCCAGTAGTGAGCCAAGTCCAGGGCTGGAAGGAGGGAAGCAGGGGACAGCCTCCAATTATGGGAGGGGAAACTGAGGCCCAGAAAAATTCTAGTCCGTGACTCAGGGGCAGAACTGGCAGCACGACCCCAGCGCTTGGTCTCGCAAGGGGCACTCACACCCCACCCTCGCTAGCATGATTTTCTCCTCCTCTGGGGACGTGGTGGGGGCCTGTGCCCTTAATGACTGTGGATTGTGTGGAGCGTGGTCACGCGAAGGTCTCATGGTGCTCGGGGCTCTACGTGCGCCCGACGCGAGCCAGTCGCTCTCCCATGGAGCTCACAGAAGGGAAGCTGAGTCATTGTCCCCTGGGGAAACTGAGGCCCCAACCCACGAAGAAGTCGACCTGAATCCCTGGGAACACTTTCCATTGATCTCTGTGGGCCACACACGCTGTGTGAGGCCCAGCCTGGCGCTGTCACCACGAGGCCAGCCTCTCCTCCCTAAAGAAAGCATAAACAGGAGAGCTCCTTCTTCCTCCAGTTGCTAAGCTGTTGGCATCCCCTGCCTGTCACCTGCCTGGCCACCGGTTCCAGCCTGCTCCTGCCCCTGCTTTTGCTCGGTGCTAAACTAGGCTGTCCAGGTGCCCTGCTGTGGGAGTCCAGGTGCCCCGTCTCCAGCTAACAGGCTAACGGGCTCGCTCCTCTCGCCCTTGCAGGTTGTTTCCAGGATGAGGAGCAGCTTCCCAAGGCGCTCCAGCTGCGACTCATCCACCTCTTTGGAGCCATTATCTCTGGAGCCAAGGTAACTTGTCCTTAGCTGCTGTAGTCCCCTCCTTCCCGACAGCCAAGCTCCGCCCCTCGGGAGGGGGCGTGGCAGTGGGCGGGGCCCTGTCTGGAGTGGCGGAAGGGGCGTGGAATCCCCCTCTTTGGAGGCCTTTCAGGGTTCCGCGGCCAAACGCCTGCCAGGCACGGTCTAGGATCGCGTGGTCCTGCCTCAGGGCGGGAGGCTGGACTGGAGGAGTCCTCGCGGTCGCTCCCAGCCCTGCATTGCTCGGACCTAAAAGCAAACTGAAATCCAAGCACCTGGACAGGTGTAAACAGGCTCTGGGTGCCCCTGAGGCAGCTGAACCGAGAGCCGTGGAAAGATCCGGTTCGGATTTCATTGGGAAGCACTGGGCATGCTACAGAACGAGCTTTCCCCGGATCCCCTGGCCTGACAGTCCCAAAGGGGCCAGCGCTGCCTTTAAATGTTGCTGGAAGGGGGAAATAGTTTTATTCTAGCTGTGCCGATGGGCCCCTGCAAGATCCGGCCCACTGTGCAAGGTGCTGCACGTGCAAATAGGGAGAGAGTCCCTGCCCAAAGGAGCTCCCAGGGAGACCAGGCAGATGGCGGGAGAGGAGAGGATGCTGTCCTCGTTTTACAAGCAGGGAGCTCAGGCCTCAAGAGACTGCGACAATACTTAGCCACTGGGAGGCAGTGTGGTTCAATGGTTAAGGGCGTTAGACTGGAGAAACGAGAGACCAGGGTTCTTAATCCCACCTCCGCCCCAGTGACCTTGGGCCTGTCACGTTCCCTCCCTTTGCCTCAGTTTCCCTGCCTGCAAAACAGGGAAGATGCTACTGATCCTGTTGGGCATGAAACATGCCATATGTCGCATCAACTGGCGAGCATTCAGAGTCCTGCCTCTGCCAAGCGGAGGGCTGAACGGAGTCCCTCGTCTCATCCCCCACATCTTTGTTCTGGTGGGGAAGGGGGTGCGGGATGAGAAGAGAGCCCTGCATGCTTTGGGGGCCTTAGGAATCCGAGGGGGGGCAGATAGAGGGAGGTGGGGAGTGCCCCAAGGATCAGTTCTAGGGACTTTTTTTTCAACATCTTTATTAATGACCTGGATGAGGGGATGGATTGCACCCTCAGCAAGTTTGCAGATGACACTAAGCTAAGGAGAGAGGTAGATACGCTAGAGGGCAGGGATCGGATCTAGAGTGACCTGGACAGATTAGAGAATTGGGCCAAAAGAAATCTGATGAGGTTCAACAAGGACAAGTTCAGAGTCCTGCTCTTGGGATGGAAGAATCCCCAAGCATTGTTATAGGCTGGGGACCAACTGGCTAAGTAGTAGTTCTGCAGAAAAGGACCTGGGGGTTACAGTGGATGAGAAGCTGGATAGGAGTCAACAGGGCACCCTTGTAGCCAAGAAGGCTAATGGCATATTAGGTGCATTAGGAGGAGCATTGCCAGCAGATCTAGAGAAGTGATTATTCCCCTTTATTTGGCTCTGGTGAGGCCACATCTGGAGTATTGTGTCCAGTTCTGGGATCCCCACTACAGAAAGGATGCGGATGCATTGGAGAGGGTCCGGCAGAGGGCAACCAAAATGATGAGTATCAGAGGGGGCGCCGTGTTAGTCTGAATCTGCAAAAGCGACGAGGAGTCCTGTGGCACCTTATAGACTAACTGAAGTGTAGGAGCATAAGCTTTCGTGGGCAAAGACCCACTTCGTCAGATGCATAACATGTGCATCTGACGAAGTGGGTCTTTGCCCACGAAAGCTTATGCTCCTACACTTCCGTTCGTCTATAAGGGGCCACAGGACTCCTCACCGCTTATTTTGAAATAGTGTACCCACACTACAGGGAAGCTTCAAAATTAGTCCAAGGCAGGCTCCCTTAGGCTATGTCTCGACTACAAGCCTCTTTCAAAAGAGGTTTTTTCAAAAGAATCTTTCAAAAAAGCCTCGAGAGAGGCTGTTCTCAGTAGTGACGGATGGCAGAACAAGGAGCAATGGGCTCAAGTTACAGTGGGGGAGGTCTAGGTTGGATATTAGGAAAAACTATTTCCCTAGGCGGGTGGGGAAGCACTGGGCTGGGTTCCCTAGGGAGGGGGTGGAATCTCCATCCCTAGAGGTGTTTAAGTCCCTGCTTGCCCAAGCCCTGGCTGGGCTGATGGAGTTGGGGTGGGTCCTGCTTTGGGCAGGGGGCCGGACTCAGTGACTCCTGAGGGCTATTCTAGCCCTGGGATTCTAGGATTGTGGGTCACAGCCTGTCTGAGGCCGATTTCCAGCGGGGGCACTAGAGCGATTGCAGACACCTCCTGTGCTCTCCGTCCCTTCCCTCCCCTCCAAACAGCACCCGCCTCCCTGTGGGCTGCAGCCAGTAGAGGGCGGCCTGATTGTGGGGTATTATTTCCGCCTGACGATTACTGCCCTCTGCTGGACAGGGTTTGCAGAACAGACCCAAGCCACCGAGCCCGTGATCAGCCACCCTTGCGGGAGTCTAGATGAGGCTAGCCCAGGGCACCGCCACCTGCTTTGGCCCAGATTCCCTGGGGCGTGCCCCGTGCCGCACAGAAGCGTGCTCAACACAGGGCGGGTGCGAAGTCCCCCTTTGGGGCTGCGTCTCTGGGCTCCGGGCCCTGAGCGCGGCCGCGTGGCGCTTGGTTTCCTCTCAACGGGCTGCTTTGTGTCCCCAGCAAAACGCCCTGCAGGTGATCACGCCGGCCTCCGTGGAAGTCCTCATGCTAGTGCTCAGGGGCTGCTGCTCCCCGGGGGACAGGGACACCAGGGACCCCCGGCTACTGCAGCTGACCTTGAAGAGCCTGGTGGGAATGATTCACACCTTGCACACCAGCAGCCCGGGCCAGCGCCAGATGGAGATCAGGACCATTTTGGACAGCTACTTCAAGGTCCTCAACTCTGACCAGCCCATGGCCTGCCTGGAAGGCCCGCCGGCCGCTCACTGGGAAGAGGGCCTGATTACTCTCAGGGTAAACATGTTGGGTAGGTAGCCCTGGGCCTGGAATTCGGGGGTGGAGGCGTGTTTCCGGTGGGGGGCATGCGTCTGGGTGGTGAGGTTTTTCTGCAGGAGGTGGGTACCGTTCCCTGGCCTTCCACCAGGCTGATGGGAGCTGCCGGCCAGGTTGCTCTGTACCCCTTAGTAGGATGATGCAGGTTGTTCCGCATCCTAGGCCAGCAGGGCTCAAACGCCTCGACTGCCAGGATGGCTGCCACTAATGCTAGCGAAAACAGGGCACCGCAGTCCGCTGCGTTGTAACCGCCTGCCAAGCGCTGCCCATGCGTCGGCTCGCCTTCTCCGACGACGCCGGGCTCTGCCCTGGCTCCCGTGGCCCTGGTGCTGACCGAGGCCACGCAGCCTGATGTGACACTGTTCCGAAAAAAGCCAACGTGCTTCAGGGCTGCGTTGACAGGAGTGTGGTGAGCAAGACAGGAGAAGTCATTCTTCCGCTCTATTCCGCGCTGATGAGGCCTGGCCGCCGGTCTACTGGAGGATTGGCCAGCTGGAGGATTGGGTCCAGTTCTGGGCCCCACATTTCAAGAAAGAAGCGGAGAAATTGGAGAAGGTCCAGAGAAGAGCCACAAGAATAAAGATCTAGAAAACATGAGCTGTGAAAGAATTGGGCTTGGTTAGTTTAGAAAAGAGAAGACTGAGAGGGGACATGAGAGCAGCTTTCAAGTATCTAGAAGGGTGTTACAAGGAAGAGGGAGAAAAATTATTCTCCTTCACCTCTGAGGATAGGACAAGAAGCAATGGGCTGAAATTTGAGTGAGGGAAGTTTAGGTTGGATATTAGGAAAAACTTCCTACCTGTCAGGGTGGTTAAACACTGGAATAAGTTGCCCAGGGAGGTTGTGGCATCTCCATCACTGGAGATATTTAAGAGCAGGTTGGACGGACACCTGTCAGGAATGGTCTAGATCAGGGGTTCCCAGCCTATGGATCGGGACCCAAATATGGGTGGCCATTACCAGGGCTCGCCAGCCGCGCTGTCCGGCGTTCTGCGCATGCGCAAATCGCCTGAACCCGGCTCTTCCAGGATGTAATCTACTCGCCACGGGCAAGTAGATTACATAGATTGTCGAGCCCTGGCCATTACATTTCAAAAGGGTCACCCAGTGTCTCCCATGTGGCTCTGTCCCCTCTCCTCCCCCCGTTTTTGAATTGCCTTGGGTCACCAAGTCTTCCTGCATTGTCAAAATGGGTCCCCATCTGGAAAAGGTTGGGGACCGCGGGTCTAGATGGTGCGTGGTCCTGCCGTGAGGGCGGGGGCAGAACTCCATGACCTCTTGAGGTCCCCCCAGTTCTGGGTTTCTGTGATTCGATGTAGGGGAGGCCTCGCTGTTCCTCTGGCATGAAATCAACATGCTCTGAGAGAGGCTTCCGCCTCACGCCCCCCCCCCCCCTTTGCGCGTTTCTCCAGGAGGGGAGGATCACCCTGTAAAGGAGACACCCTGCTAGAAACCAAGCACCTGCTGCATCCCAAGTCTCCTTTCGGCCCCCCAGGAGCTCTGGGGGTGGGTCGCGCGGGACCCGTGAACTCTGCTATCGGAGGTGCTCCATAGCCCGAGGCTCCTGCGGGGGGGGGGGGTTCCTTCTGCTCCTCTGGCTGGCGCGAGTCTCCAGCGGCGCTCCCCGGGCGGCTCGCGTTGACGGGCGGCTCTTCTCTCGCCGCCAGACGCGATTCCGGAAATGCTGAATTGTGGCGACCGGCCTGTCCTGCAAGCCATATTTCTCAGCAACAACTGCTTCGAGCACATCATCCGGCTGATCCAGAACAGCAAGGTACGCTCCCCGGCGCGCTCCGCGGCACGAGCAGGAGGGGGGGACGCTTCCACATGCCTGGAAGAGCCTGACGCGGGGCCTGATGCTGCAGGGCTGGTGTGAGCGGGGGGCTTGTTCTAATCCAACCTAACCAGGCCGGGCTCTGCAAGAACGTGAGTAATTGACTTGGGGTTGCTCCTTTTCTTCAGGCCCATTAACTGTCTCTTGAGTCAGATCCCCTGAAGATCTGGAGCAGGCCCAGTGTGGGAGACTAGCTCAGCCAGCTCATGGAGCCTTGTACAGGCTCTCCAAGAGGAGTCACTAATTCATGTAAAAACGAGGAGTCCAGTGTCCCTTTAAAGACTAACGCATCTGTTAGGGTGTGTGGCAGCCCATGCTAGCAATGCCTCTCTGCCACGACCATCGCAGCAACAGGGCTGCCTCGAGGCAAGCGAATAAATGGGCACACATCAGACATGAAGAATGGTCACGCCCAAAAACCTGCGCGGGAGCTTGTTGACCTCCCTGGACTCGCCGATTTGGGCTGGCAAGTTGCCATTCTCAGGCAGAAAAACTTCAAAACCGGACTGCAGAGAGGAACTTAAAACAAATAAAACAATACATCTGAAAACAATTTAAAACAAATCAAAGGAAGTTCTTCTTCACACAGTGCATAGTCAATCTGTGGAACTCCTTGCCTCAGGAGGTTGTGAGGGCTAGGACTGTAACAGGGATTAAAAGAGAACTAGATAAATTCATGGAGGTTAAGTCCATCAATGGCTATTAGCCAGGATGGGTAAGGAATGGTGTCCCCAGCCTCTGTTTGTCAGAGGATGGAGATGGACGGCAGGAGAGAGATCGCTTGTTCATTACCTGTTCGATTCACCCCCTCTGGGGCACCTGGCATTGGCCACTGTGGGCAGACAGGACACGGAGCTGGATGGACCTTTGGTCTGACCCAGTGTGGCCATTCTTATGTTTAAATGCGGAGTCGGAATTCATGTGGAAATTTGATACCCTCAACCAAGGATTCAGTCGAGTGGGGAACCTAAGGCCGGGGGGCTGGATGCGGCCCCTGGCTTGCCTGAATCCAGCCCCCCACGTTCAGGGCTCCCCCCCAGCATTGGGGAGCCCACACTAGCACTCCAGGCTCCCCACCGTCCCATGGGGCTGGAGCACACAAACTCTACTCGCCTGGGCCCCCCCAGACAAGAGAATGTGGGAGTGTCTCCCTCTTCCATCAGGGGCCGCATAGGGAGGGCTTGTTTCTTTGGGTTTTTTGCTTTGCACTTGTGTGCGGCCCCTGATGGATTTTTCGGTGGGTCAGCGACCCCTGGCCCAAAAAAGGCCCCTCAGCCCTGGTTTACATTAACACTTGGAGTGGTTCTTGCATTAGAATAGGTCAGTGTTTCCCTGACTTGGCACTGCCCCTCCCTCTCCCGCTCTTAAAGAGACAGAGCCTCTTTTTTTTTTTTTTTTTTGCCAGACAAATTTTAGCCCGGCAACCCTAGGAGTTCCTTGAAATTCAGGTTCTCTCAACTTCTCACTGCTGCTAGAGATGAGCCCCTTCCTTTCAGTTTTCATTAGCACCGTTGTCACACTTCCCCCTCTGAATCCCTCCATCCGTCCGCAGCTGAGGACGTGAGTTGTAGCTCATGAAAGCTTCTGCCCTAATGCTCTAATCCATTTGTGAGCCTTGAAAGGGCCCCTGGACTCCCTATTGGTTTTGCTGAAACAGACAAACACGGCTCCCTCTCTGAAACTAATTCTTGTGGTGCTCATCCGCCCGGACCCACTCTGGGTACATGGTAGCCTCCGCTTCACCCTCTTGTCTGCCTGTTGCCATTCGGATGGCAAGCTTGGGGAGGCAGACTGATTTCCTAGGTGTGTAGGGGAGGTTACTGCACACAAACGGATCATTGTCATTAGCATGGAGCAAGCATTGTGTCTCTGACGCTAACCCCCCACCACCAGTGCACATTAGAAATGCTAATCCACTTTTCTCAGGACTCGGATGTCCACCCAGCTGTCCTGGCCAAATTCTAGCAGGGCCCTATATTCCCTGAATGTTTTCACTTGCACATAGCATCCTTCACCTCTGTTCACTCCTTGCCTAGTATTCCTGTCTGCTGTGAGCCAGCACCCCCCGGAAGTGGCTGCCTCTCTGGGCACGTGCATGCAGATCCTGTCATTGATTAGTTGGGGAAAAGGCGGAAAGAGCCCAGCACGGGGTTTTGGGTCTGCAGGCTGCCTTTGGGAAAGAGCTGTTAACTTACAGAGCAGGTTTGCCCTGGACACGGGATGGATGCAGGTGCCACACTCCCGTTTCTAATCATAACGCAGAGATCCATCCCCGATTCAGCTGGCTGCAGTCGGAGACCACTTTTTAGTCAGCTCACTGTTAATTAAAAAAACCCCAACATCCTTTTTGCTCCTCGATTCACGCTGCCTGTCCTGCAATGGGTCTTTGGGGCTTGTCTCCCGCCAGGAGCGCTGTGTCGGGTGTCCCTCTTGCTGCAGTTTCCAGGACTGGCGAGAACACGCCAGCCTGTGTTTGGCCCCGTGCCTGTTCGTTCTGCCTGGAAAACCCCTTCAGTCCTTCTGGTATCCAAAGGACGATTTACATCCACTAGTAGCCAGCGGAAAGCGGGACCCTGCTGGAATCTTGCTCTCCCTCTCTTCGCCCGCGTGTTATTTTTAACTTGGGTTTAAACAAACTAGGTGCAGGCTGGCTGGAATTTTCCCGTGTATGGCGTTGCCGGGAGCGGTGGCTCAGAACACGCCCCGTGCGTGCGCCCCTGCCAGGTGCCTCTGCCCATGTTTGGCATTGAGGGAACATCTTGGCTCCCTCTTCAAAACCCAGGCTAGCTGGGGGCGTTCGTCACTCAGCAGCATCCACCAATAAGGTGCCACTCGGGCAAAGCCTGAATACCAGTGGGCACTGTTGCCAACACATGCAAGGAAGAGAGGGCCTGGGAGAAGCTGAAATTGCCCATGGTCCTGAGTAGCTGGCTAGAGCAATGATTCCCAATCTTTTTCCCATGGAGGAACCCCTAAAATAATTTTTCATATCCCAAGAAACCTTAGATATGAACTGACCAAAATAAAGAGGCAGTCGGTAGCATATGAACATTACTCCAGTATTGCCAATGGCTGGACAAAAATTCCCACGATATTTCTCCGCTCTACTCTGCACTAGTTAGGCCTCAGCTGGAGTACTGTGTCCAGTTCTGGGCGCCACATTTCAAGAAAGATGTGGAGAAATTGGAAAGGGTACAGAGAAGAGCGACAAGAATGATTAAAGGTCTAGAGAACATGACCTATGAAGCCAGGCTTCATGAACTGGGCTTGTTTAGTTTGGAAAAAAGAAGATTAAGGGGGGACATGATAGCGGTTTTCAAATATCTAAAAGGGTGTCACAAGGAGGAAGGAGAAAATGTGTTCCTCTTGGTTTCTGAGGACAGGACAAGGAGTAATGGGCTTAAAGTGCAGCAAGGGAGGTTTAGATTGGACATTAGGAAAAAAATCCTAACTGTCAGGGTGGTCAAATATTGGAATAAATTGCCAAGGGAGGTGGTGGAATCTCCCTCTCTGGAGATATTTAAGAACAGGTTAGATAGACATCTGTCAGGGATGGTGTAGACGGAGCTTGGTCCTGCCTTGAGGGCGGGGGGCTGGACTCGATGACCTCTCGAGGTCCCTTCCAGTCCTATGATTCTATGATTCGAGGGGTATTTGGAATTGTTCATGGTATTTCAAAATTTGTATTTATTTATTCCACGATTTCTCGCGGTACCCCCGATGACGGTCTGTGGAACCCCAGGGTTTCGTGGAACCCTGGTTGGAACCACTGAGCTAAAGCTACAAGAAGATATGACGGTCTGTGGAACCCCAGTGTTTCGTGGAACCCTGGTTGGGAACCACTGAGCTAAAGCTACAAGAAGATTTGTTTTTCTTCTGGCAAAGCCGAGGGTCCCTGCAGCAGGTGGTGATGAGCCGGTGAAGGTGGCTTGGGGTTGGAGAGAGGAGACAAGCAGGTAGTCGAATAGGTTGAGACCTAGCGGCAGCTACTCCCTTCACCAGGTCTCCTTTTGGCTCTTCAGACCTGGGCCGCTGTGGGGTGGTTTTTACCCCTTCGCAGCCCTGCCGGGGCTCTCGGCTCTTCTCAGTGTTTCTGACCTTGGGAATCACCCGGCAGAAGTTGCCTGGCACTGGATGCTTGCACCATGCTTTGTGCACGTGAGGGGGAGCTCCCGGATGCATGCAGGTCCGGAGCAGGTTGCCTTGTGGCAGAAGTTGCCTGGCGCTGGATGCTTGCACCATGCTTTGTGCACACTAATCAGCCCTTGGCAGGGGCGGGAAATGACGGCATAACACAGCTCTAGGGATCTTCGCGGGAGGAGAAGGGGGGTGACTTCCCGGATGCAAACTCAGGACCTCTTGTCTCCCCAAGTGCCGTGAGGGGGTCACGCCACTGACATGTGCCCTCCGGGTGCCCGTGTCCCACCCTGGCAGGTGGCACGAACCCTTTGGCACAGACCCCTGCTGCCTTGGCTGGGGCGTGCTTGGAGTCTCTGCCGCGGGCGGAGGTCTTGCGAACAGCCCTGCCTGCAGGCGGATTCTCAGAGAATCAAGTGCAGCTGGGTGGCGCTTTGCTCCCTGCTCCCCTGGCCTGCAAGACCAACCCTTGGGGAAGCTAAGAAATGATTTTCCCTCTCTCTCCATCTCTGACGTCCTGGCCAGGGGGCGTGCAGCCTCTGGGCAGCCTGTGGCAAAGCTGCTGTCAGCTGCTGTGGGGAGAACAGAGTGCCGGGGAGGTAACTTACAATGGCCAGCTCTCAACACGGCCTTCCCAACGCCAGGGGCAGGCTGTTCCCCAGTGCTCCAGGGGGCTCCGTGCTGCTAGCAGCCACTCCGGTGCTCCAGGGAGGAAACCAGTGACAGCGGCACCAGGCGTTGGTCTCTGCCGGTCTCATCTGCCCCCCTCTGGAAGCAGCTGCTCAGACTGGCTGGGTGCCCTACCAGGTGACTGTCCTCCTGTCCCTGTCCTCCCAGGCTCCCTCGGAGCATCCTGGTTTCCGGGGCGTCCAGCTCTTCCCAGTCCCCTCTGGGTGCCCTGCTGACCTGTGACTGGCAGGAAAAGCTTTTTTGCCGATTCCCGAAGGCCTCGCGGTTCCCGGGGGCCACCGCTACGCTGTCTGTGACTGGCCTGTTAAGGCAGACCCCGCAATGTCGATGTGTCCCTGTCCTCCCAGGCTCCCTCGGAGCATCCTGGTTTCCGGGGCGTCCAGCTCTTCCCAGTCCCCTCTGGGTGCCCTGCTGACCTGTGACTGGCAGGAAAAGCTTTTTTGCCGATTCCCGAAGGCCTCGCGGTTCCCGGGGGCCACCGCTACGCTGTCTGTGACTGGCCTGTTAAGGCAGACCCCGCAATGTCGATGCCAGGCGTTTCCTCTCCTTCCTCCCCTCCCCCCTCCATGCTGCACCCTGCTCTCTAAAGTGAACGCGCAGGAGAACTACCAGCTGAAAATATTGAAAAAAATGAATCATTCTTCCATTGAAACCACTGGACTTCCTGCCATTTTAATATATCGAACCACCAAGGTCATCTGTTCTTAATCGGGACAGTCTGGGGTTGCATCATTGAAAAGTACTTCACATCTGATGCTGCGGAACTGAGACGTCATAAACCCTACGTCAGAGGCAGGCGGCCGTCCGTGGGGAGGAGGGGGGAGGGGGCTGTGCTTTGGATCAGGCCCAGAGCAGGAGTTGTGACAAGCTGGGCTTGAACACAAGACCTGAGGGGAAACCCCATGGGAGTTCGGAGGGTCTCTCTCGCCCCGGCCCCTCTGGCTCGGGGGGCACCCACGTTGGAGCTGCGTCCCAGCGGTGGCAGAATGTGGCTCTGTCGACAGCCCTGCTGGTTACTCCTGCGCCTGTCCGCCGCGTGCTTCACCCTCTGTGTCTCCCCCCTGTGGCTGACGGAGCTTCTCTGACCCCCTTTCCGACAGCTCTACGTGGGCGGGGCGCGCCGGGCGGACGCGTCGGGGAGCGAGCTCGCCGCACACTTGCTGATGGAGAGCGATGTCCAGCAGGTACTGCCTGTCACTTGGGGGTGGCCCGGGCACCGCACAGACCGGGGGCTGCTTTCGCGAATGTCTGTTGTGCCACAACAAACCGGGTCATGTCAGCAGCCCCGTCCAGTCAGGGCAGGGGGAACGCTTTTGTCTGTGGCTCTGGGCCCTTTTCTCAGGCCAGGTCGGCCGGCACCGTCCAGCGAGAGCGAGGAAGGAAATAGCGAGACCAGACCTGAGCCAGCCCAGTACCCTTTGGCTTGGCTGGGGGGGGGAGATTTTCGCCCTTGCTTGGTGATTTCCGTTCCCAAGAGCTTTGCACAGAGGGGGAAACTGAGGCAAGGCCCCAGAGCTGGCAGTAATGGAGCAAAGGGGACGCCTGGCTCGCCACTCACCCTCCCCGCTAAAGCTAATGTTGCCTGCATCCAGACCAGGACTAGCGCTCTGAGCAGAGCCAACAATAATGCTGCTCCCCCATGGTACCTGAGGGCCTCCCAGCAGCCCTGAGATAGACACAGGCCAGTATTCTCATCCCCCTTTGGCAGGTGGGGAAACCGAGGCAGACTGAGTATTAGTCCTAGAGCAATGTTTCTTAAACTGTGGACGCCCTTAAAGGGTCAGGTGACCTTTTTTTTTTTTTTCCTCAATAACTTTCCCCTGACCCTTTTTTTTTTTTTCCCCTCACAACAAAAAAATCCTTGGTGTTTCTCATTTAAAAAAAATATTGTTTGGTGTTCCTCAGTCTTAAAAAGTTTAAGATACACTGTCCTAGAATCAGGCCGTTCAAAGCCAGAAGGGCCCCCCCCCAGAACATCTGGCCTCCTGCCTGATACGGGCCCCCCACATCGGGCCCCCCACATCAGCACCCCCCAACCCAAATGGAAAAAGACCCAAGTGTCGCCACCCGCAGGACACTGCAGCGGGATGGGGCCCGAGCGTAGGATATTAGCGACCGAGGCGCTCCAGTGCCCGAAGCCGTGCAGTGGTAGAGGATTAAGTGAGACCCCCCTACCCTCGGTGAGAGCCCTGTGCTCCGGAAGAAGCCAACCCGCCCTTCCCCCAAGCCACGGCCAGTCTCAGCTGGGGTGAACCCAGATCTCCTGGGCCCCAGTCTAGCCCCTACTCTGCCCCTACCCTGTCCCGCCTGCCTTGGGAGCTGGGGCAGATTTCGAGCGGTAGCCATACCGCATGACTGGGCCCTGCCACGGTCTCGTGCCCACGGCAGGCCTGTCCCCGCTGTGGCTAGGTGGGAAATAACCCAGCCCCGTCACTGCTGGCTGCACGAGGCTCTTTGAACCGGCTCTTAGCGGCTCCCTGGGCGCGATGGCCTGGCGTGCCCCAGAGCCTGGGGGAAGAGAGCAGCCAGCGCTTTCCTGGGGTGCACCCTGTCGGCTGTAGGAAGAGGGTGGAGTCAGAGGTTAAATGGTGGTGTGGGGGGAGAGCTTCCTTTGCCCCTGTAACGGGACCATGTGGACGCCCCTGATGCTGACATCCCCGGTTTGGGCACGGTGATGGCACGGTGGGGGTGAGTCTGCACCAGTTGCATGCGTGCGTGCGTGTGTGTGTGCACGCCATGGGAGTTTCCCGTCCCTCACTCCGAATACGCCGGCTTGCCTTTGTGGGGGCTGAGGGG